GTAGTTTTTTTTTTTTTTTTTTTTTTTGCGGTACGTGGGCCTCTCACTGCTGTAGCCTCTCCTGCTGTGGAGCACAGACTCCGGACGCGCAGGCTCAGCGGCCATGGCTCACGGGCCCAGCCGCTCCGCGGCATGTGGGATCTTCCCGGACCGGGGCACGAACCCGTGTCCCCTGCATCGGCAGGTGGAGCCTCAACCACTGCGCCACCAGGGAAGCCCTAAGTAGTTTTTAGTTTGACTTTTTCCCCTAATTTTGTTCCTGGTATCTTTCTGGGTTAAAACATCTTGGTTCTGTCCAGGGCTTTGGGAAACTTACGTTCTTAGCAGTTGTTCTAAAGGCAGAGATGAATAATTGCTTGCCAAATATTAGAGGCACATATATTGTGTTCAAACCACACTTTGTTGATCAGGTATTGCCATAATAATGCTGCGTAATAAACCAATTAAAAAAACAGTGCCTGATAGCAATAGTGTTCTTTCTTATGCTCAATAATCTGCGGGTCAGCTGGAGTTCTGCTCATCTAGACTTGATTCAGCTAGGTAGCTCTGCTTTAGGCTGCAGGTTGGATGGATTTACTTCAGGTTGTAGGCTGGGTTCAGTTCTGTTCTTCATGTGTTTTTTTCTAGAGCCCAGATTGGTTGAAAACAGTGGCTGTCTAGGTTATACTCTACGCATGGCTGGTCACTGCCAAGTCGTGCAAATATGGGTGAGGGCTCTGCTGACATCAGAACCAACATTCCACTGACCAGAGCAGGTCCTATGGCTAAGCCTAACGCCACTGGGGCAGGGAAGTGTACTCTAACTAGAGTGAAAGGAGAGGCAGAGTGAATTTTTTTGTTGTTGTTGTTGGGAACATTCCCTTTATTGCTTGGTTGTGTATTTTGAGAAAGCAAATCCACTGGCACTTGCGAAGGCTTAGAACATAAACCAACGTTAGAAGTAACAGAAACACATAGCTAAAAGTTTTACTTTAATCACAAATTCACAACTAGAGATTTCATTTGTGTATCTTAGAAAGCTAAAAAGACATGTTAAATTTTTTAACCAATCAGCAAAAACATGTGCCACACAGATTTTTAATGTTCATAATTTAGAATTTATCACATAAATATATTATTTATAAATATATTCTTTATTTGTAAAATTATTATTATTAAAACATTTCTTTCCAACACAGTTGAAATTCTCATGTGTGTTTTAAGGAAAAAAACCCTACCCTATTTTAAAATGTATTACTAAACTTCAATGTGTGAATAAACCAGTGCCAACAAACTGAAAACGAAAAAAAAAAAGAAAAGAAACATACTGCTGTGTTGGATATGCAGTTGTTACTACAAATAACACCACATGTCCTACACGGTGATCATATACATGCTCTTATTTCTTCTCAGTCATTATCAGAACCATTTGGAGGTAGGAAAACCAATGCATCATTGAAAATATGCCCAAATGCCCTAAGACGGTATACCCCGTACATCATTACATGCATCTGATTAGGCGTCAGTCCATTAAAAGTAACAGCCATATCTGAACAACATCCTTCTACTACCTGGTTGGGGTGATTAGTCATTGCCTCTTTAATAAAAAGCCCAACAGACTTGGTGTTAAATACATCTTTTCCTTCAGCAACTTTTGCATTTTCTGCAAATACTCCAGCGTATTTCAGGCAGACTGCTAGCTGCTTATCTTCAGATATCTTCCAAATCATCCCTTCCTGTTCAGGACACTTTTCAGGAATACTGAGAAGGCTGTTAAGTCTTTTCATTGATTCTACACTTAAGACAATTCCTCCTTCCATACTCACATACTCGAGGTCTCCAGATTTTATAGTGTGGCCTAGATAGAAAGGTTGTGATGGATCCTTTTTCAATAAAAAGTACTTTAAGTTTTCAATAATAGCAAACGTAGTGGGGCGTGCAAGGAAGAACCAGTTGTATTGGTCTCTATATTTATCAAAGGCGTATTTGTAAGCTTTTCTCATCATTAACCACATGTCATTTGTTTCCATGTTAATTGACTCAAACACTTTAACATTTTCAGAACTGAAGAACTCTGCTTTGTCACAGTGTTTGGTCCAAGTCTCCTTCACTGCAGCCCAGAGACTCACATCTTTGGGTTTGACAAGGATGATACAGTATACTCGAAAGCTCTTACTGAGTTCCATGCGTTCATCCTCTGAAATTTTCAAGATATCTTATTAGGAGCTTGTAGGTGATGATGCTCATGGTGGTGCATTCTATTTCCATGACCAATCCTAATGTGTCCTAGCATAGTGATCAAGGCACAGAAAATGCTTCCAAGCATTACACCCTTCAAAAATGAACTGCTTTCAGAAAGCATTTTTCCCGCGTCTAGAGCGGCTCAGGGGCGGTAAAGCGCAGCCGCGCACGGCTTTCCTCTCACGTTCACGTTCGCACGCCACTCGGATACGTTCCTGGTCGGGCTGCTCTACATGCAGGCGGTTTCTTCTCGTTGGTTTCGCTAAAGGTGGTGAGGGCCCGGAAGTAGACGCCACAACGGCGGGCAGCGGGGCGGGGCAAAGGAGCCCTAGGCCAGGCGGAGCCGCCCGCCCGCGCCGACGTCGGAAGGGCCCGCGCGCACGCAGCCGGCAGAGTGAATTTTTATTGAATGATAATTTAATAATTCAATATTTGCTTAGTAGTTTACCCAACTGAATGGACAGAAGACCAAAATTAGAATTTTATATTCCTCCTTGAGAAAATTGTTCTCTTTCTACATGTAATATTTTTTTTTCTTTGTTTAAAAAAATTGTATTTATTTTTGAAATTAAAAATGAAAAGCTTTCAAATTAATGTATCTTTTATAATTATTAATACAGTTTGTTGTGAAATTTGTTGCCATATAGAAATTGAAGAACGGTGTGACTGACTGAAGTTATCTGTCAATACATACTTTGACTTTTGAGTCTGTGGACCCTCAAGTCTCCCTCCTCTCCAAATGGGGGCTCTTTGATTTGAGTCAAAGACCAAATAGATGGCAAGGAATGTCAGTGGGCTACTAGACAGGTGGGGTTAAATGAAGAAAATTTATAAACAGAAATGGCTCAAGAAAGAACTCTGGCTTTCCAAAGAAAATATATATCTAATAAAAGGGGTAAAATATAAAAGTCATCCCAAGTCACAACTCTAGAGGCAACTACTCAAACTTTTCTTGATGTGGTTTTTGTCATTTCTCTGCATACAGAGACATATAAATGTGTGATTATGTATGTTGTTTTATCTCTCAGTTATAGGATTAGGTAGCATGTTATGGAAATACTTTCTTTTTTTAACATCTTTATTGGAGTATAATTGCTTTACAATGGTGTGTTAGTTTCTGCTTTATAACAAAGTGAATCAGCTATACATATACATATATGTATCTTTATCAAAGATAAGGTGACCATATCTACATGTAATATTGATTTGATAAGTCACAAGGCAAGTTCCTGACTGAAGACTAAAACATTGCACAATTATTCCAACAGTTTTTGTTTGATCCTTTTCCTACCACCTCACTTCAAAACAGGGACTCTGAGCAGACATGATGAGGCAGTTTAAGTAGGAGCTCAATGCTGAAACCAATGGTCTCTGAGAACCATCATTATGCATATATGGAACTTCCACAGGCTGCCTAACACTGGTTTAGGTGCTGCAACGTTTATATAATTTAGGCTGGGAGTCATTACTTCTTTTGGGGAGTTTACAGCCTTCTCAGAGCAGATAAAGATGCTATTTAATAATACAGATTAAATATAAGAAGAAAATAATAGAATGTAGAACTGGAAGGAATTTAAACTGCTACCCTCACTTCAAAGATCAGAAACCTGAGGTCCAGAAAGATTAAATAATTTTTTGAAGGATAGAAGAAGTTGGTGACATATTTAGGTCTAGAATCCAGAATTTTTTGTACTCACGGTCAAAAGTTGAAAAGAGTACTCACAAGAATCAGAATTTATTGAAGGGGAGACAGTTCCACAGTTATTTTTCCAAGTGGAATTAACTTTAGAGCAGCTGAGGCAAGCTGTTAGAAGATTTCAGGTAGTGTGAAGGTGGAAGGAATACCGTCTGAATGTTGAGACATATTAGAAGAACTCACAGAGCCAGTAGCTAAATGAGGATATTATTAGTCTGTAGTCATACTTTTGTCTGAAGGCTGAACTTGGTCCCTGGGATACAGCTTAAAGAAAGAACATCATTTATCACAACGACAGAAAGAAATTGAGATTTTTCAGTATTTTGTTATAGAAAGCAGACATGTTGCCCTGGCCATATGACATTTTTGGTTTATAGGATGTTTGTGATTAGCCTGGGGTGCTATTACTTTCTTTATGATATTGCCAACACATAGGTCCTTCTTTCTTCCCTGTTTCCACTAACTGTAGGCCCCATGCGAGGGACTAGAGAAAAAAATTCAGCGTAACTTTGCTCTAAGAAAGATACTGAGCTACCCTAATTCAGCTGGGTTGGACTTCATTCTGGGTAACTCCAATCCAAGCAGAAGCTTACAAATAAAATAAGCACTGATGTCCACAAGGTGGAAAATCAAAAGCAATAAACATGCTCCACACACTTCTTGGGCCTCTGTAGTATCAGCCATATATCATGGTAAGTAATTGATTCAATCTTGTAATTGACCAGTCATAATCTGCTTTTTAAAAAGCACCAGTTCTTCAGATCACATTTATATTGCTCCATTTTTCTAAAGAGAGAAACTGTGGGATTCATGAATGTGTGTGTAAGTTCATCATAAATTTAAAAATTTTTCTTAACATTTTCCCTGATGATCTGTTTAAATTAGAAGTCACAGATTTAGTTTTCTCCTTCATTCATCTGAGGTAAGAATTCTTACACTTATGTATTGGAGTCAGAGAGGTTGTGCATTAGATTAAAATGATCTTAAGAAGCATTTACCCTGTCATATATGTCTGGTTGCTTTTGTTGTTTATATCCTGAATTGGTGACTTGCTTATAATTAGAATTGTTAGATATTTTATATATGATTTTAAAATGTATTTTGTGAACATTATCTGATTACGAGCTGATAAGTCTTGTGATGTATTTGTATGGCATACAGAAACTGATGTGTATATATATCAGACTCAGTGAATGGCCCCTCACTTAATTGCTTCAGCAAAACTGAGAGTTTAATCAAAGTGTAACTTGGTAAATCAACAAAGACTTCCAAAAAGATCTAGATTTTAAATAATTTCCCAGAATACGAGAGGGATGTGGAATTGTGAGAATAGAAAGAATTAGGATGAGAGCCTCAAGTAAAATACACACACACACACACACACACACACACACACACACACACACGAAACAAAACAAAACAAAACAAAACGCAAGGAAATAGAGTTACTAGGATTTTCAACAAAAGAATTATTTGACTGACAACAACAGTAAAGTTCCCATTCTCCAATTTTATGCTGTCTTTAACTATCTTAATAATAGCATCTAAATGTAGTGTTAGTTAAACTGAAATAAACACAAAGTTGTTTGGGAACACGTGAGTATAAACTGCAGGATGATTCATTTATATTTACAGATGGGACTTCACTCACCACAGCAGGACTCCAGGCTTTACCATAAATGTCTGGATGTTTTATAGTTCTTGGCTCTTCTAATTAAAAAAAGGAGTTTTACTTGCAGCAAGGGATGGGCACTGTCTACATGCCACTTTGAAAAAATGCTAACTCAATCATCATTGATAATTTACTCCACTAAAGGAGACATGTCTTGGCCTGTAGTAAGATAAGCACCAGGTGAGTTTGCAGAATTAAAACACTGAGAGGGAAGTTAACCCGGCATTTCTTATCCTGAAACGGTTGATTTAGGACTCTAAAGGTTAAGTTAAAGGTCACTTGAATTTAAATATCTTAACACAAAAGTCAACCTAAAAGGCAATACATACCCAAAGAAATCTAGGAAAATTATTGCACTGTCCCATTTAAGACCTAATGTTAGTAAATGAAATTCCAAAAGTCACATAGTTCAGACAACAGCATGGTGTTTACCACTGGAATGAACAAAACCAGAGAACCTCAGAGCCACAAAATGCATCAGGGAGTCTGTTGAGAGCTAATAACATTTACTGTAAGTTCTTTAAAGCTAGTACCAATTGATCAGCTTCTCCTTATCTGTCACGGAACATAAATAGGAAGGATTGTCCTAGGGACTTCACTCTCATTTTCTGAAAGCACAAAAGGGAACTAATCAGAAGTGATACTGTTCTTCAAACAGAGGTGAAGAGGAGAATTTGGCTTCCATGCCATCCCAGTGCTGCAGACTTTGCCTTAGCCCCATTCTCTGCTTCCTGGGTCAGATTTCTGGAAAGGGTAGGGGGCCATGAGCTGCTCAAGCTCACTGGCCACCCTGTGGGCAAAAGAGATCTGTTCGGTGGGAAGGACGGGGAGAACCAATGCCCAGACCTGCCTCAGAATTGAATGGTCCACTGTAGGAACTGGGATTTTTTTTCCCCAAACTCTGTGATAGTACTATATAATACAACTTTTTGCCATGCTGGAAGAAATGTTCTATAATCTGCGCTGTTCAGTGGGGTAGTCACTAATCACATGTGGCTACTGAACACTTGAAATGTGTGACTGAGGAACTGAATTTTTAATTATATTTAATTTTAATTAACTAAAATTTTAAATGTGCATATTTGGCTAATGGTTACCATATTGAAACACAGAGAATTTTCATAACATCTTGACATCCATATAACCCTGACCAAAACTTATTGAATACTTTGTAGGCTGAAACATCATGCTTTATATTAAAAACACTAGTGATATAACAAGATTTGTAAAATGATTTGGACCTGATATAAAAAGAGTATTTCTCTGGGGAGCAAAGCCTTAGCAAATAAAGTCATCTCCAAGAACAGATCTCAAACATTAGTTCATTAATTTAATATTTACTGAGAGGTCATTAAACAAGACGCAGTGGGTTATGTGTTAGGAGTACAAAGATGAGATACTTTATGCTCTTAATAAGCTCACAGTCTAGTGGGAGAAAGAGACAAATGAGATATTTAAATTATAATATGATAAGTACTAAGATGGAGGAATGAACTGTAGCTAGGGCATCATCACTGACTTTCATGAGCTAGGCTATTCAAATCATCCTTTGTTTAATTGTTAACATTTCCAGCATATGGTACTATTATAATGTGGGGTGTTAGGTACTGTGAGAGATGAATTAGGAAATCTCTGCCTTAAGACTTTTTACCTATTTGGCTTCCCCAAAATATAGATTGATTCTGAAAACAGCAGTATAAGGTTCTTTTGTTTCCTAGTTCTAAGTAAAACTAGTGTTGGTTATTGGGTTCTTTGTGATTGAGATACATTCTTTCTTTATTTTTTAAATAAATTAATTTTATTTATTTATTTTTGTCTGCATTGGGTCTTCATTGCT